GGGAAGTTTATATAGACTCCACTCCCTTGAGGTGTTAAAGAATTTGGGACTCTTTTTTTTTTTTTTTTTTTTAAAAAGCCACATCCCTGCAGTCTGTAGAGTTCAACCTTCAACCCTGGCCCAAGCCCCTGTGGCTGGAGCTGGCTGAGGCTGTATGGCTGATTTGTCTGTTTTTGCGGGGGAAGCAGGACGGTATGCAGGATCAGAGATACCCTTCCCTGGAAACGGTGGCTTCTCTCCCCTCCTTCCTTGGCTTCTTTGGATTTTAGGCTGAAACTGTCCTTTCTAAATAGCTCTGACAGAATGGCTCATTGCATGGATGATGAGGCTCTCAGAATAAAGCCGGTCCCATGGACTTAGTCCAGTTGCAAGAAGGGAGGAAGCTAGCATTTAATGAGAACCTACTGTATTCCAGCATGGAGAGAATTCTATACTGTGTTCCAGTAGGTGTCCAGAAGGAGTTTGTTTTTTCCTAACATCCCTGCAAGTAAAGTTTGTTAGCGTCCCTCTTCTACAGATCATGGACTTTTCAAGGATTAAATGATTTGTCCAAGGTTGCACAGCTGGTGACAGAGCCATGATTCAAACCTCCTTTACACCACCTGACCTGGGCAAACAGGAGGCAGAAGAAGTGATCTCTCCCGTCCTCCTGCATGCCCTCCCTTCCTGCCTGTCTGTTCTCTCTGTCTAGGGCCACAACTCAGCCACTCACTTTCCTATCAGAATGTCCCTGTTCTGTGCCTCGAAGCTGACAACCCCTCAGGAGAAAGCCCCCGCTCAGATTCCAATGACCAAAGACTCCTAGCACCTTGGAACAGGCCCACTCCATGGGCAGCCACACATTCTTTGGCCTCCTTCCCATCAGCAGGTAGGGTCTATCTTCTCTCCCATAAACTCTGGGCAGATGGGGTGACCCATGGGACATGGCAGAAGTGACATTGTACCATTTTCCAGGTACAGGCCTTGAGAAATTGGCAACTTCTACTTCCTATCTCTTCCAAAAGTCTGTTGGGCACCCTGAGCCATCATATAAGAAGTCGGGACACCCAGAGATGAAATACTCTGGAGAGGCCAGTTGTAGATGCTTCTCTAGTGACAGCCCTAGATAAGCCCTGCTCTCCAGCCATTCTCGCTGAGGTGCCAGCCACTCGAATGAATGTGAGTGGGCAGCCCAGGACCCTCCAGACCAGCTCATCGGCCAGTGAATACGGCTAAGTGGCTTCAGCTGCCACCAGAAGAGTCACTCAGATGAGCTCTGCCTGAATTCCTCACCCAGAAAAACCATAAGATATATGGAAATGGTTATTTTAAGCCACTAAGATTTGGGGTAACTTGACACAGAGCAATATGCATTATCTCATTTAATCCATTCATTATATCTATTTTATAAACTAGGGCATTTAAGCTCAGAGGGGTTAAGTAACTTGTCCTAGGTCTCCCAGGAAGCAGAAGTCCTAGCTGGCATTTGAATTTGAACTTGGCAAGTCTGACTCCATAGCTTCCTTGAGCCCAAGCCCTGCTTTTACTGCTTCTTAGTGGGTCTCTATGTCCCTTCTGGCAGGAATGTTGACTTTTCAGCCAAAAACATTACCTCAACCAACAGATTAAATGAATTTACAAGGAGTGATGTTTCCAGTACCGAGACATTCCCGTTTGAGAGATACATGGGAAGATTTGGAGTTGGGGGTCAGGTGGGTGGGGGTGGCATTCCCTTCTCAAAAGTCAGGACAACAGGGATTGACTTATGTATCTTTGTGTACCCATAGCTGGCACAGAGCCTGTCAGGAAGGCTTAATAAACGTTTGTTCAACGAACGCTGGAGCTGTGGAAAGGAGGGCAAGATCTGGAAAGAAAGGTTTTCCTGCCATCTGGTGGTTATTTCTGGAATGACACTTTCTTCCCTGGCCGGAGAAGGAAATGGAAGATTCCTTGGGGGAACTTGGCTGCAGACTGCAGTGGGATGCGGGGAGGGTGGAGCCTTTCCCAGGAGCTAGACTGTTTGCCTCTTTCCATGCCCGCAGTGCTTGAGGTGAGGCAAGAAGATGTACTTCCCCAACCCAGAACATACCACCGGAGCATTCAGTAAGTGTTTAATAAATACTTGGGATTGAAATTTGAGAAAATATCCTTACCTTCTACTGAAGTTTGCAAAAGAGATGGCTGCCTTGAAAAGAAGGGCCGCTCCCTCAGCACTTAGAACATGGCCTGCTCCCAGTGAACCCTCAGGTCCCCTGCTGTCCCCCTCCTCGTTCCCAGACCCCTCGTTCCCAGACCCCCAGCCCTTCTCTGAGGTGGGCCTTCACACATCTCAGCCCGGCAGTGCTGACAGGTAGAGCTCTTCCTGGCAGCAAGGCAGGGAGGGAATCCCCCTGACCTCACCCCGCAAGCCCCGGTAGGTGGACACCAAACACCACGCTCACATCAGACAGAGCTTCACTTTCCTCACCTGGGAAGATCTGTACAAAAGACTAACCTCTCAGAGAGATGTTTCAAAGATCATGAGATTAGATGTGTGGAGTCCTTGGACCCCAGTAAGGCCCTCAAACAAGTGTAAGCCTTGTTAAACATCCAGGACAATTCCTAGAAAAATAAATACATGTCCCTCCTCACTCTCCCCAAACTCATCAGCCAGCACAACTCCCACGGCAGTCCTCCCCAACCCACCCCTCCAAGCTCTGACCCCAAAGCTTCCCCCAGGATCAAGGACTGCCCCCTACCCCACCCCACCCCCAATCCTGTGTGGTCAGAAAGGCAAGATGGGTTTAGTAAGAACAGACAGACACTTTATTGTACACCATGGGGAGTGTAGAGAGGAAAGGGCTCTGGGGGTAACAATGCCTCATCCCCTCCCCTGGGCTGAGTGGTCTTGACCCAGGGCTCTGGCCAGCTATGGAGCACATGGACTTGAATTGTTCTGAACTTGCACCAGAACTTAAAGTGATGCTTGCTATGTGTGCTCGGGTCTGTACAAAGCAGCGCTTGAGATAAGGAAGGACCCTGGGCTCCCCCCAGCCCCAGTTTCAGGACCTAGTGGACACTTAGCAAGTCAGATGCATTCCAACCTGTTCCATCTTTTTTCTCTGTGGGGAGTTCTCTGCGGAGCCAGGGGCAGGGAGGCGGGGCATGAGAAAGGGCAGAAGGGCAGCTCTCTGCCCGGAATACTCAGGCCTGCTTAGGACTGGGACCATGCAGCTTCTAGCCCCAAGCTTCACAGCCTACCGCAGGCTGCTGACTTGAGAAGGCTTCTCCTGGCACTCAGAAAGTAGCAGTCCCTGCAGATCTATTGCTGGAGGGCAAAAGCCAACCTCACTGGCCTCAATTTGTATGCCCTCCACTCCCATCTGGACCTTGGGCTTCATGTTGCCTCAGCAGAGAGGGCTCCCTGAGCAAGAAGCTGGGGATTGGGTTCAAGCTGGTACAGCCCTGCCCTGCCCGGAAGCTGGGGATTGGGTTCAAGCTGGTACAGCCCTGCCCTGCCCTGGATTCTGCTCTATCTCTTGTGGGTCCTGCTTGGACAGAACCAAAGCCAGTATGCAGGGACATGGAGGCTGCCCCTCTAGGCCATCTCTTGCTCCTCCAGGGAATCTGGGGCTGGACCTTACCTCATCAGATGCCCCACCTGCTCTGACCTCCCCCACTGACTGGCCCTGCTCCCAGCTCCCCAGCTCCCTGAGGAGTGGTAGAGATCAGGGGAGCACAGGGGAGGGGCAGCCAGCTGTGCCTTTCTGAACAGGTCTGTCTCAAGGACAAATGCAGGACAGAGGTGCTGTGAGATGTCCTCTTGAGGTCTCACCATCTTAAGAAACCCAGCATATTCCCTTGGGTGAAGAGTTTGTGACTTTAAGAGCAGCAAGAGGTTGGCTGGAAAATAAATCTGGGGGCTTCCCACCCAAACCCCTCCTTCCCTGTTTCTAGTAAGCCAGAAGGCAATGCGTGAAGGCAATGAGTTACCAGACAGACGTGCCTGCTCTCCCCACAGCAGGGGGCTTCCCACAGGACCCAGACAGAGCTGAGAGGAGGAGAAGGAGGCAGGCGGAGGGCAGCGTGGTCTTCAGGAATGTGGTGAACACTGGGAATCACAAATCGGCTCCTGGCACACACCCACACCCACATATGTGCACACACCACACATACACGCACGTGCACACACGCCAAGCTCTGGGCCCTACATCTAACACAGCTGAGATACAGCAGGGGCAGGGTCTGGCCTATGGCAAAAGGCTACGAGCTCCACCACGCCCACAGCCACCAAGCAGAGGGCCCCAGCTCAACTGCCCTGTCACAGGCTGGCAGGCTGGGGCCTGGCCCAGCCACACACTACAAAATTAAAAATATATCAAATATACAATGAAAATAGATCTGTATAGCACTGAGGATGAAAATAGTCCACCAGCCACAGTATAATATTGGGTTTGTCATTTAACAGCATTTACACCCACATGTACAGATTGAATATACAATAGAAATAGAATATATAGAGGAGTATATATAGTAGTGTCTCTCCTGGGGCCTTGCTTTTCCTGTTGCTAAATCTGCAGGGATTAGGCATGGGGCCAAGTAGAAGGTGTTGTCAGGTGAGGGGGCCTAAGGCGGGGTGCTGGGCCCCAAAGGCTTATGTCTTTGGGGAGATGTGGGTCTGCTCTCCCCTCACACACTCAGGAAGGAGAGGTGGGGCCGAGAGGGCTGGCAATGGGAGCAGGTATGGGGGAGGGACAAGTTAGGGAGATGGTTGGGTCCCAGGATGACCACCAGGTAAGGGAACCAAGGGATTAAGAGGTGAAGGGGAAGCCCTGGGCCTTGTCTATCCCTCCCAGTGCTGACTGCAGTCAGAGCAACAAGAGTGACTTGGGACCCTCTGTGAAGGGGCCCAGGCCTAGCACTGTGGTCTGCTCCTGTCTGCCCACCACAGCTCTCAAAGATAGAGGTTTGCTGTCCCAGCCTACCTGCCATCCAGACATCTAGTCATCCAGCCATCCACCCACCCACCCACCCATTGCTCCACACTTATTCCCCAGTTAGGTTCCAACTGTCCCAGCATGCACTCTGAGGACAGGCTTCTTCTGGGGTAGAGCTAAGGGTGGGTACGGAGGCTGCAGGCGCTGGGCTCCAGGACAGAGATGTGGCCCTTTCCTCTGGCACTCTCCAGTGTCCACAGCACTGGGTGTGGCCCCTCTACCAGGGCCTGGGCATCTTGGGAAAGGTTTCCTAGGTATCTGCACACAGCGTGCACACCAAGTGGCTGTGCTTGCAGAAGGAGAGTGAGCGGCAGCCCAAAGGGGCAGTGAAATTATGTGTCTTTCCCCAGGTTCAAGGATTCCTGGGAGTGAGCCCCTGACCTCCAGGGACCCCATTCTAGGGGAGGAGCTGCTGCTAGTGAGAAAGTCAGGCCCCAGGTGAGAGGAGAGGGAGTGTGCTTTACAATTGTGCTCCAAGCCATCTGAACTGTGCTTTGAACCACTACATGTGCTCTGGAAACCTCTCCCTTCTCTGTCCAGGAAAGAGGCAGAGGCTACCAGTCTGGCTCCAGGATGCAGGAAGAGAGGGCAGGCTAAGCACTAACGGAGGTGGGCAAGTTTCCCAGGCCCAGTCATTGCCCTTCCAGGCAGGATGAAGGAGCCCACGCCACCCACCTGAGGCAGGGCCAAGGGTATATGAAGAGTCTGAGTAGACCTAGGGGCAGAGGGGCACCCACACACACACTGCTACGGCTCATGCTCAAGCCAGAGGGTACCATCTGCCTCACAAAACAGAACCTGGCAACTTTTGCAGACTCCATCCCAAGTCTGAACCTAAGTCCTAGCACCTCTGTCCTAAATCCCTACCCTTAAATCAGGCAGCCTCTGGGACACCCCACCCCACCTGACCCTGGGGCCTCTCACCACCAACACCACCTGGCAGCACAGAGGGATCCCCAAGGCCTAAGAACTACAGGTGCCACTTTACAGGGAAAGAGGGAGTGTAGTGTGGGGTGACCCCTAAAATGGCCACAGCAGTCTCCCCTATGTAGGGAATGAGGACTTCTGGATTGTTCCAGTTATTCAGCTGCAATTTGGTGACAGGATCTCAGAAGTTCAGATGGGCTGGGAGCCTGGAATGGGGGCCAGAGCTCCTCCCAGCCTGCACTCATGTCTAGGGAGAAGTTGCCTATGGGGATGAGGCAAGGCAAACCCCACTCCTTGGGCAGAGGGCCTGGGAGGAGAGGCCAGGCCGGGACAAGTGAGCTGGTTGGGTATGTGGGGAGGGGTGGGGAGGGTGGGGGGCACGGTCACAGCTCCGACTCAGGGGTGCCTGCCAGGAGGTAGCTGCTCCCATAACGTCCATTGGGATTGCCACTGGGCTCCAGGGGCGACGTGCTGCCGGGCCCCAGGTAGGAGCGGTGAGTGGGCATTGGGGAGGGCGCCTCGCTGGGCACCTTGCTGAGGATGAAGCGGGTTTCATCATTCTCCTCCAGGTTGGAGATGTCCTTCATCATGCGGCCCTTTTTGTAGGACACGGAGAGGGTGTTGGAGCCGTCAGAGAGCAGGTGGAAGTGCCGCAGGACGAACACCACAGGGATGGGCAGGGTCGCCACAAGGATGAGGGTGATCAGGAGCGCCATGGCCCAGTCAGGGAAATATAGGTAGCGCTCTGCAGCCTAGGGGTAGATGGGTGGAGGCTGATGCCTAACACTGGCACTGACAGCCTCACCCTCCCAGCACCTCCAGAACCATCTCTTTTGCCCTCTCCCCATCCCCACCCACCATCCTGGCCAGGCACTAGCAGAAATGGGGAGCATCAGGCATTGCTATTTGAGTTAGCTGGTCCCCTTGGTTAAAGGCCAGAATTCCTCTGGGTCTCAGCTTCTACACCTGTAAAATGGATGGGTAATTCCACTCCACAGATAAGGAGAGAGAATAGGGTTAGAAAGACAAGCTCCTGGCAGGGCCTGGTACATAGTAATTAACCTGTGAGGGTTTATCTCTATTGTCTGTTGCATTAAAGGCCTGGGAAGATGCCAATGTCCCTGGGGTTTCAGGGTCTCACCCCTCACCTCCTCCTTGATCCAGGCGCTGTACCCTGGGGGCGTGACCCCCAGCTGGATGACACTGGCTGTGGTGAGCACAGCCATACACAGTGGAGACACGAACTTCCACATGTAGAAATAGAAGCGATAGGGCCGGAAGCCCAGCATTTCCGTTAGCTCCTGCATAAACCTGCCAGGTGCAGCAAGAAGGTCCAGCAGTTGGCACCCCCACCACACCTGCACATTTCCCCACAGCCACCTCCTCCAGGAAGCCTTCACTGACCAGTCTTCTCCCTCCCAGGCTCTTCCATTCTTCACAAACAGTGCTCCCTTGTTTATTAATCTGAAGCCTGGCTGGCCTCTGGGAAGACTCTGCTGCCCTCCTCTAACCTCCTTTGAATACATCATGTCACACCCCACTTACAGATATGATCATACACAGCCTGGGCAGGCAAACACTGGAGGGCTTCTGTGTGGCCTGGCTCTAGACTCCCCCTGCTGGAAAAGAGGCAGAAGTGCACCTCCCTGGGGTGGAGAGCCAGAAGGCTGCCCTGACTTGGGGGTTTCTAACCAAAGGACCTGTGAGGGAAATTGCAGGCTGTGTACATAAATGGCTTTAAAAAAAATCTTTACCTCAATAACACGTAATTTAAATCTTGCATTTCTTTCTATTATAAATGCAAGCAACCACAGTTGTATTAACAGTATCTGTGACTTTAATGGCTAATTGATTAAATCACAGATTATTTTCCTGTGGAACTGTAATTTCAGATACCAATACTACTTCAACATTACCGTTGCTATTAGACCCATAGCTGGGTCTTGTAACTCAGTTCAGGGAAAGGAAAGTACACATACATTACTGTATCACAGACTTTAAACAGTATTTTGCATTTTTTGTCAATAAATTATTTCCTATATAATCCTACATATTTTATGCATTTAAAAATAATATTCTGAGACGGGGTACAGGGGCTTCACTGGACTGCAAAAGAGTCATACCCCTTCTAGTAGCTTCTTCCAACCCTGGCTCATGGGGCTGCTCTCTGTCTCATCATCCTGTCTGCTCCGCAGACCCCTAGGAAGGAGAGGGCTATGGCAGGGCCCACGAGAGAGCCTGATTCTAAGGCCAGGTTCAGACATCAGTGGAGGGTCGGGCTGAGTGGGTTAATGGAGGCCCTAGGCCTTGCTAAGGACTAGGACAGCACAGCCATAGCCATGTGGGAGGGACTAGTCCTGAGACTCCTGGGGACGTGGACTTGTCCTTAAATGAGGAATGAGGCCAGGCATTGACAGGGAGTATGGTCTGCCCTAGGCTCAAGCCACGAGACCCAATTCTTTCTATTACTGAATTCTCTTACTTGCCTGGCTCCACACTATGGTTCATCCCACACCCTATGCAGATCACCTTAAAGCTGAATCAGGCTGCTGAAGTCTATGAGTCCTCAGAGGGCAGGGGCCTTTAATATGGCCAATAAGTATTTCAACCTAACAGAATCCTGAAGAGTTGGTACCCAGGTAAAGTGCTCTTAAAAATTTAAGGCAGCTTTAAATGATGTCAAGACCTGACTCGGGAGACTTGCATCCTCAGCCTGGGTCTGCCTCTCAGCAGACTAGAGGCCTTGGGCGGTCACGTCCTCTCTCCATGAGTTTCAGTTTCCCTAATGATCTGAACTGGCACTTTCAGCTCTGAGCTTCTGACTCCACGGCCTCCTGTCAGGCTCACAAGCCACCCCAAGAACACAGCACTCTCCAGGGAGTCAGGGCAGGACAGATCCCTCTCTCGACTCCCCCCTCCTCCACACCCCTCTTACTTCTTGGTTCCATAGACCCAGGCCACGGCAATGTTCTCGAGGATAACAATGACGGTGAGAGGCAGAGTGGCTGAGTAGTCATCAAACATGGTGACAAAGTAGTTTCCGGAGCGCTGGACAAACAACAGCCCCACGAAGAATGCAAAGACACAGCAGCCCACTGCAGAGAGCAGGGAGGCCGGTGTGGGGCCAAAGTGCAGGGTGGGTGGGGCCTGGAGGTCTTGAGGGGCACCCAGGCCCCTCCCACCCACTGCTCCCCCTAGCAGGCCTGCAGCCCAGCCTCCAGCAGACCCCAGCCCTGCAATGGGGCTGGGGAGGGGATTCAGATGCTGAGGTTCTAAGCTCCCACTCTGGTAGGCAGGGAGCATCCCAGGGCTGGGAGTGACAGAGATGGAACAGGGTGCAAGGCCAGCATGGACAGAGGCCACCCTTACCCAGCATGACTCACAGGCCCTCGGGGAAAGGGGCAAACAAACCGGGAAGAGGCCTATCTCCCGGCTCAGATGTACCACTGATTCCCAAGCAGCCTCCTCCTCCTGGTGCATGAGCACTCTTCTCTGGGTGACACCAACTGTGCCAGGGTGACGGTGGGGAGGGAGCCCTCTGGGAATGGGGTCTTTGTAAAGTCAGAGCTACAACTTGATTGCTGTCTCTGAGGGCAGCCCACAGGGCTGGCAGGGGCTGCCAAAGGAGTTACCTGTGAACATCTCCTTGGGCACCTTGAAGGTATCAATGATGGGCGTGGTGATGCCGGCCATGGTCCCAATCATGCTGCCCAGACCCAGGTTGATGAGCATCAGGAAGAACATGACAGACCAGAACGGGGAGGCGGGGAAGTGCGTCATGGCCTCAGTGAAGGCGATGAAGGCCAGGCCTGTGCCCTGCACAGACTGAGGTGGGGGGGGGGAGGGCAAGGGCTCAGAGGGCCTACACCTGCCCCTAGGAGCCCTCTGATTCCTTATCTCTACCTGCAGAGGTTTAGGAATAAAGCTAATAGGCAGGTCTGATGGGCAGCCAAGGGAGAGAATCATAGTCTATGGCTCATGGGGCCCCTGACCACCCCCAGCCACTGACATCACTTCCATGTTGTCCTGTAACGTCTGCTGGATGCCTCCTACTGTGTCAGCGTGCAATTCTTGTCATCTGGGTGTTGTCAAGGTTGGATTGGTATTTAGAAAACTGCTATAATCCTAGTTTTATTCAGAGGACCAGGCCACACTCATGACAACAGGGCAGGGTCTCAGGGAAGGGGGAGGTCCTTCATGCTGCCAGTGACCTGGAGAAGAAACCAGTGCAGGGGTCCCAAGACTGGGCCCTTTTGCTCTTGATCACATAGGAAGAGGTTGGGGGTAGGGAACAGCTCCCTCATCTGAGGACGGTGACAGTAGAATGCAGCTGACTTTTAATGTGGAGCTCAGGCATCAGTGCAGAGGTGTCACCTTCCCTGCCCCCATAGAGAAGGGCAGGGTTGGCCCAGGCCAGTAGAGCTGGCTCTGCCCCACAGGCGCCTTGGCCCCAGCTGGGCTAGGACCCTGCAAGTATGTCTCTCTCCTATTACTCTTTCTAACAGAACAGTCACTTTGGAAGTTTCTAGCTGTGTGGACAGGAACAGAAATAAGGTGTCTAAACTTGGGCCTAGGCATTAATAAGGGTACAGCATCCTCCTGCCCTACTCCAGGGGATAAGGGTCATTGTGACAGTGGGAATTGGAGTGAGGAAAGCAGAGAGAGGGGACAGAAGCATCAAGGGTGACTCAGAGAAAGGGGATTTGAACCCTGGCTCCCCTGATCTTGAGTAAGCTCCCACCTTACAGGCTACTCACCTGTAAAATAGGGGACAATAATAATACTCAACTCACAGAGCTCTCATGAGGGTGAAAGGGGATAGAGAGAAAGGGCAGATGCTAATATAAACACTTATTTTCTGTGTGCTATGTACAAGGCACTAAGTACATTACATAATACAGTGACTGCTGTGCAGGAAACCTACTCAATGAGTGCAAAGGTCATACTGTACACTTCTGGGATTTCTGTGATGTGTGTGTTTGCCTCTTCCCTTTGTTGAGACTCAACCTAACCCAGGACAGAGATTTCAGCTGATACCTTTCCTCTCTTCTTCTCTGGACATTTAGTAGGTCCTCACTTAAATCAAGTAAATGAGTGAGTCCTGGTGGCTGTCTGAGGCCTGCACCCAAGCTCCAGCCACCCGGGTCCTGTCTCTGGTTCTACACTCCAAGGTCTGCCTTCCTGCCCATCCCGGGGAGGGCAGCCTGCTCCACACCTTGTCCAGCTCATCCTCCAGAAGGCAGGGATCGAGGCCCAGGGCTGAGAAACGGTCTTCCTTCACCGCCTTGATGACCTTGTACATTTCCGTGTAGTCCTTGGTGGTGAGGTGGGAGAAGTTGACGTGGGGGGGGATGAGGTCCCGGCTCAGGATGTTGTTGTGGAGGTACCCCAGGATTTTCTCAGCATTCCTGCAGCATAAAAGAGAGAGGGCCAGGTAAAAAGGCAGGGGTGGGCACAATCCTGCAGGCACCTCCCAGACACCCAGGCAGGACCCCCACAGGCCATCAACAGAAACATCTCTGAACCTGCCCCTGTGGTTCAGGCCTGGGGACAGAGAGAGCTCCTCTGCACTCCATCCCTCAGCCTGGTGGGACCTGGACTCTCCATCCATGGCCCTCCTGCCTCTCCTGGGTAGAGTGGACAGGGAGAAGACAGGAGGACAGATGCCACCTACTCGACCACACACTTCTCATTCATGATGTTGGCCTTGAAGCCCAGCACAGCAAACACCACGAGCGTGGCCAGCACCGAGGTGAAGAAGTTGATGAAGGACACCAGGGCAGCATCGAAGTGGCAGTTGTTGTCCTGCTTGTTGTAGCTGGAGAAGGCAATGACACCCCCAAAGCCCAGCCCCAGAGCGAAGAAGACCTGTGTGGCTGCCTCCCGCCACACTTGGGGGTCCAGCATCTTGTCCAGCTTCAGGGGAAGGGCCATAGCAGGGGAGAAAAAGAGACACACACATAATGGTTTTTTTCACATGCAGTAGAGTTCCTACCACCTTCCTCAGCCTCAGTGAAGTTCCAAGGCAGCATAGCTGGAAACAGCCGTGGCTGTGTGACCTCAGGCAATTCTCCCAACCCCTCTGAGCCTCACTTTCTGCATGTGTAAAACACAGACAACAAGAGTATCAACTTCAGAGGATTGCTAAAATAAAATAAATTCTCTGTGCTTACATAATACCTTCTCAGTTAATTTTAACAGCTAGCATTGGTTATCATGGAGCTATCATACTAAGGAGCATTTCCAAGGCCATCAGATATGGTGTGTAGTGCACAACTCTAGAGAGCGCCATTCACTTAGACTATAGTGTAAATGGTTCTCCCTGGAGTCACTCTGTGTACAGCCTGTGCAGCTGTACAAAAGAACTGAGAATGCCAATATCTCTGTTACCTTCTTCACTTCAAACCATGAAAAAAGACACCAGTTTTTCTCTCCTGCCCATCTGATCTCCTTTTTCCCAGAAAAAAAAGGCCCAATATTCAATCAGACACATCTATGTGCTCCAGGTCACAGAAGAACTCCTCACCAGCCATCCAATTTGAAGCACAGAACCCAGACACTTCCTAGAGAAGACAAGGCCCTGCCAGACCCTGCCTCTGTCCCTCGAGCCAGCAGGAGGCTGAGCCACACAGTGTCTGGAGGGCATGGGACAATTTCCCAAGCGCTTTTCATATCCACTTTCCCTTTACTGTTTGTTCCTCAGCGCGGACCATGGCTTGGCCCCGGCACAGAGCCTTAGAGTCAGACAGACCCAGATCTAAATCTGACTTCATCTTTCAATCGCTGGGAAGGCTTAAGCAAGCAATATGCCTGTTTTACAAGCCTCCCTTTTCTTACCTGAAGAAAGGAATGATAACAGTGTCCTTCTCCCAGAGAGTTTGTGAAGATCAAATGTACAGCAACGAGCAATGCCTGGCACATAGTAGCATATAATTCTGACAAAAGGCCTCTGACCTGGTCAGGACAGGCTTTTTGGTGGGAGGCAGGCATTATTATTCACAGTTTGAAGCAATAAAATGAGACCCAAAGATGAAAATTACTTGCCCCAAGTGCTTGGAGCTAGCCAGTTAGGGCAGAGAAGTCACTAAGCCACTGACTGCCTCATTCTGGGCCATGGCGCCCACCAGCCTAGTGCTGTCTCCTGACTCAGTCAGCCTGTTTCCTCTACTCCTCAGACCACCTTCCCCTTGGCCCTCTGGTGCTGAGGCGAACCCAAATGACCTCACTGCAGACAGACGAAGGAGGCAAGGAGCGAGTTAGAGTTCACTGCCCTGTGGGCACCAGCCCCATGGGGTCCTGGCCTGGCTGCCACTTGCTGTGTACCTGTGTGTGAGTCTGTTCCTCATATATGCACTGAGGCATCGGACTTGAAGGTCCACCCAGTGATAGCTCTACTGTCACAGCCCTGACATCAGAAGAGAGGGCCCATCTGCCCACCATTGGAGCAGCTTCCAAGGCATATCTGAGCACCTAGAGTCACCATACCAGGTGCGAAGGCACTGGCAAGTCTGGAGGGCTGGGGGAAGCACCCCTGTGCTGAAGAGGAAGAGGAGGGGGGTGGCAATAGGGCCCTCAGGGCCTTATGAAATGAGGGCACAGGAGGACCACCTGGCAGGCAATCTCCAGGGGAGATTAAGGTCCCCCACCCCACACAAAACAGGTAAAGCCATCTTTCATCCAGGAAAAAAACCCAGAACCCAGACCTTAAGGAGCTAAGAGCCCCCCAGCATCCATGAGAAGGTGATACCCTCCTCAGCTCCACCCCTCTCTATGCATTCGACAGTTGTAACATGCAGCCTCTCTGGGGATATGACGTTCAGCCTCTTGTCTACCAAACCCCAGGCACCTACTGTGGGCCAGGCCCAGTGCTAGATGATGGGGCCCATGGGGAGCAATAGTAGGTAGGCCCCAGCTCTTGTTGGATTTACATTCTAGTTGGACATTGGTCAAATGATCCCACAAACAGAGGCTAAGTTGCAAAACTGATGAGGTCTATAAAGGCCAGACATGCAACGCTTAAAGCTGCACTGCTCAGAGCCTGCAAGGGGGAGCTGAGCGAGTGAGGAAACCAGCAGAGGATCCCAGAGGAAGGGATCCTTGAGCTGATGTCTGAGAGAGGACAGAAGCAAGGCTTAGAGAGGAGAGAACAGAAGTCAGGCAGAGGAAACAGTATGGAACAGGCAGAGACCCCCAGGTAAGACAGGACAGAGGGGTACACTGTCCCCACACGGGGAGTGAGGTATAAAAGGAAACAGAACAGGCCAGGCTGGCTGAGGAGGCAGGGACAAGGCGGGAGGGGTACAGGGAGGCGGGGAGAGCCCGAGGAGTTAGATCAAAGCCTGGGAGCATCTTTGTCTTGATCCTATGAAAGCACTTAATCTGGGGAGCTGCTAAGGGAAGTGAAGGAGGAAGGAAGCAATCAGATGTGCATTTCTAAGAGAAACCAGAAGATGCAGCAGACCGGCTAGGAAGAGGCTTTTGGGGTCCAGGTGGGAGCCAATGGTGGCTCTGCCTAGGATCAGGGTGGCACAGATGGAGAGATTTCACCAGAAGAGCCACAGTGAGCTAGCTTCATGATGACCTGGAAACAGGGAATGCTGAACAGAGATGCCAAGGTAACAGCCACAGCTCTGGTTCTGTCTCTGTCTGAGGGAGTTTCTGGCTGGGTGGTTTCTGTTTTCCCTGTAAAGCAGCAGGGAAAGTCATCTGCTGGGGGTGAGGTGTGCTGGGAGGGGAGGTCAGAATATTCACACAGGTGGGTTAAAATAGTCACCCTGTATTATCATGAAGCAAGACAACTAGAGAAATGGAGTAGGACTATCCCGCACTGTTGGGGGCCCAGGGTGCTTGAAATGTCATCTTGTTTGTGGGAGATAGGCTCACATTTCCTAATCTAAGAGCCCTGGGGCCAGGCAGGTGGTGGAATTCAAGTTTTTGTAGCTAACTTGACTTTAGAAAGGTAGTACATGCATATGCCACATAATTGCAACACACCCCCAGCAGGGTCTGGGCAGCACAGACATGCAACGCTTAAAGCTGCACTGCTCAGAGCCTGCAAGGGGGAGCTGAGCGAGTGAGGAAACCAGCAGAGGATCCCAGAGGAAGGGATCCTTGAGCTGATGTCTGAGAGAGGACAGAAGCAAGGCTTAGAGAGGAGAGAACAGAAGTCAGGCAGAGGAAACAGTATGGAACAGGCAGAGACCCCCAGGTAAGACAGGACAGAGGGGTACACTGTCCCCACACGGGGAGTGAGGTATAAAAGGAAACAGAACAGGCCAGGCTGGCTGAGGAGGCAGGGACAAGGCGGGAGGGGTACAGGGAGGCGGGGAGAGCCCGAGGAGTTAGATCAAAGCCTGGGAGCATCTTTGTCTTGATCCTATGAAAGCACTTAATCTGGGGAGCTGCTAAGGGAAGTGAAGGAGGAAGGAAGCAATCAGATGTGCATTTCTAAGAGAAACCAGAAGATGCAGCAGACCGGCTAGGAAGAGGCTTTTGGGGTCCAGGTGGGAGCCAATGGTGGCTCTGCCTAGGATCAGGGTGGCACAGATGGAGAGATTTCACCAGAAGAGCCACAGTGAGCTAGCTTCATGATGACCTGGAAACAGGGAATGCTGAACAGAGATGCCAAGGTAACAGCCACAGCTCTGGTTCTGTCTCTGTCTGAGGGAGTTTCTGGCTGGGTGGTTTCTGTTTTCCCTGTAAAGCAGCAGGGAAAGTCATCTGCTGGGGGTGAGGTGTGCTGGGAGGGGAGGTCAGAATATTCACACAGGTGGGTTAAAATAGTCACCCTGTATTATCATGAAGCAAGACAACTAGAGAAATGGAGTAGGACTATCCCGCACTGTTGGGGGCCCAGGGTGCTTGAAATGTCATCTTGTTTGTGGGAGATAGGCTCACATTTCCTAATCTAAGAGCCCTGGGGCCAGGCAGGTGGTGGAATTCAAGTTTTTGTAGCTAACTTGACTTTAGAAAGGTAGTACATGCATATGCCACATAATTGCAACACACCCCCAGCAGGGTCTGGGCAGCACCCTGTAATCAAATACATTAGTATTTCCACAGCAGAGTATGAATATTCACACCAAAGTGAATCAACAAAGGCTAAATAGCCTCACAGCTGTTCAGGTTATTTTGCCCCTAAATGAGTTCTGGAAGAAAACAAAATAAATTTGTTTTCAGGGCTATTTGGATTTTGGTATTGTGGATAAGGCAAGAAGGGCCTACACATGCTCCTAATAGAAATTTGAAGATTATAAAAATAGGAGAGTAAAATAATCACTGTCCCACTGAGAAAGGGCTTCTGGACCTCCTCTCTCCTGGATGGGTTTTTTTTTAATGATCGTCCCAGAAAGTTCTAGAAATGGATGGAGGGGTTACTTATGCCTGGAAGGCATACTGGCATTTACTGCTGTTCACAGATGTCAGTCATGACAGTCTACCAATCAGCTGGAAGCTGGGCACTTCCCACAGGCTGGAAAGCTGGACCTGGTAGGAGGGCTCTGGGTGGCTTGGGAAGTTCCAACTAGGAAGAAGCACAAGATTTTGTAACATGGGTCAGGTTGACATGGACACAGTCTGGTCATATCCCTTGCAGGCTGAAAAATACTTGGTTCCTCACTGTCTGCTCAAAAGTCACTTTTTCTACTCTTCGTTCTAAACACTCTAAATGCAGGGAACTTACTCTTCAAAAGGACCCTGGTCTCATCTCTGGCTTTTGCCCATGCTGTTCCCCATGCCTGGGATTCCCTTCCTCCCACTCAGATCTGGTGAACTCCTACTTACTTCTCACACTCAACACAAATGCCACCTCCTCTTTGAAGCTTTTCCTGACTGCCTGTGGCAGAGCTAGTCTCGGGCCCTGGGCTCCACCAACTCTTGTCAATATCCACATCACACATTCTGTGTGCTTCTTTTCA